CCCAAAAATAAATCCCACTTTTTATTGATATATCACCCAAAAAAAAAAAAAAAAAAAAAAAAAAAAAGAAGAATTGAAATGTGTAGTCTTTCAAAATATGAATTTGTTCCAGAAGTTTGAATAGTTGTTCTTGGCACTGAAGCTCCTTCTTTAAGAAATGCACCACAAAGTAGACATGGAAAAGACGAGTTATTTTCTTCTCCAGACATTTATAGCTTGTTCTGCAAATGAGCCGACATCACTGATGTTTCATTTCTATTGTTTGAGAGAAGAAAACAATATTTAGTGTATTTTTCTATTGTGTGAAATGACTAAAGAAATTTCACAGAGCATCACTCACTGCAGCAACAGCTGATTTGTATTTATGGAGTCATTTTGTAAGTTAGTTTTTTAACTCAGAGCAGGGCTCTGTCTCAGTTCTTTTTTTTTTTTCTATCCTCCCATTATTTTTTTCTGTTGTGGTTCAAGGTAACATGTTTATATGGGTGCTCTTCTGCTAGTTGCCAGGAGTGTCTATTTATAGATGCAGAGGTATGATCTGTACTTGCTCTTATCTAAACAAATTTGCTCTGTGGTCTCTTGAGCTGGAGACGGAATCTGAGTGATCTCGGTGGAAATCATGTGTGAACAGTTTCGCTGGTGGTAAGCAGGCATATTGAGATTTTAGCATGGATTTGCTCATTATGATTACTGGGTGTGACAGTGTGTGATTATGTCATACGTAAACAGATGTGATTTACTGCAACATTTGTCAAGTCTTCCACACATATATAATTAGCGGCATATAATTAGTAGGTTGCTTGACTAAAAGTCTGACCAATTTCAGCCGTGTCACATCCCAGCGAATTATAGCTGAAACATTAGAAAGCGACTTCCTTTCTTGAGAGGAAACAGTGGACAGATTTGCATAAACATGAAGGTTTAAAGGGGACAAAATTAAATAAACACATCATTAAATCATTGATTAAATGTGCCGTGAAATAAATAAATGTCCAATTAAATGTTTAAGTAACGTATTTCACAGTCAGTTTATCAAATATGTAATGAAATAATTAAAATGCAAACTTATAGTAGCCAATGCAGATACTTAAATATGTGACAGCCATTTCTGAGAAATGAGAGGAGAAATCAAGTTTTGAAACTTTTCACCTTTTTTTTTTTTTTTTTTTGATAGACATGTGCATAATAAATGTCATTTACAGTCCTCAGGTCTCTGGGTTAAATCAGGTCAACTTGTGAAAACATAACTGATTTTTAGCTTCGGTTCAAACCGGCGCCCGATTCTTTAATATCGTACGACCGTGCGTAAAAAAAAGGCTAGCGGCGAGGGGTTGCATTTTTGACCATCTGCATGAAGCCTCAGATATCCTGAAGGCAAACTGTTATAAGGTGCTGGTGTTAAATCGGTGAAAGAGGGAAGGACGAAAAAGGGAGAGCAGGATATTTTTACTGAGCTAAAAGTGTCCACCTTTGCCTCGCATCGACCCATATTACAGCTCAAACGGAGCACGCAGGGAGATGAGAACCTAATGTCTCTGTCCATCACTGCAACTCGTAAGTTCTTACCAGAGGGAGCGACGTCTGTCTTATCGTCCCCGTTTCCGTCAGGCACTCTTCTCATTGCTTGCTGTAAAGACAACCAGAGTGGGATTAAAGACACTTGTTCTGCACATCTGGGTTAGTAGCTGATACTGGATCTATTTAGAGTAAAACATTTGCACTCGAAATCAAACAAAGTAATTTATTTAGCCCTAGTAACTTGCCTATTATAAGTCCCTCTTCAAAAAAAATAATCAATGCTACATGAATGTTTGAAAACTGAGTATTTTTCAGTACAGTAAGGAACCACATTAAACATATTTTAACAATGTTAAGTAGCGCTACATGATATATTGGCTACATAGGCATTTTCTAAAGGTTTGAGACTCCAGTGAAATAAAAAGAAACAACTCATGCAGGAAATCATAAAAGAACCAAACGGAACGATCCAACGTCAGTCAATTAAAAAGAAAAGGAAAAAAAAATGCTCGGGAAAAAAATTTCAGCCGATGCAAAAACCACTGCTGGCCTTGTCACGCACTTGTGGAAAAAAAAATTATTATTTTTTCCAAGACTTCTGGGAAAGTATTATATGAAAAATTTCTGATTATGTGGAAAATAAATCTCTTGAATCTGTGTCCTCCTGGAGATTTCCTGTAAAACTAAAACCGACAACAGACATGGCTGGGAACACGTCAGGACCTGGAAAACTTGAACTCTGCTCACTATCAGGCATTTTCAGTAAGCAGGAGAACGCCTGGTCGTCTGCTTGTGAATTTAAGCTCAAGCACGCTTGGGTTATGCGACAGCAAATCCACCTCTGAATTGATTAGACAAAAAAAAAAAAAAAAAGATTATGGAGTGGCCTAGTGAAAGTTTAACTTTGAAACCAGTCAAGATGCAATAGGTTTTGTTGGTTGTTGTGAAAGCTCGATGACAGTTGTTCCCTCAAAAAAGTGAAACAACCATCTATGTTTAAAGGCAGTTTTTTTTTTTCCCTCAACAGAGCCAGGTTGGATTGTACAGCTTTTTTTACTTAATGAACAAAAATATAATTTAAAAACAATTGCAGTTTGTATTTACTCAGGCTTCCTATGTCTGATATTAAAAATAAAGTGTGACAAAGAAATCTACAAAAGGGGGGAAAAAAACTTTTGAAGTATTGACACAACCAAGAACAAAGCTGACCTGTTGGTAAATTCACCACCGTTTATTCTGCTCTCTTTCCCCATTTTATGGACGTAAAGTAATACAGTTCGGTCTAAATCTCTTAAGATGAGCTACAGCCAGGTGTGAGCTTTGGAAGTCCTCGGATTGGGAGCAATAAGCAAAGTATCTGACATTACGTAGCGCAAATGTCTCAGCTCTCTTACTCGCTAAATTATTAGGTGATGCAGTGTTACACAGTGTACAGCCTCTTCTAGGGAGGACTAGCAGTCGTGTTTGTGTGGCATTCACTGACATTTAGCCATCTGGTCTGGGAGCCGAGTCTTTTTCCCTTCTGCCTTCTTGCTCTTGAAGGCACACTGGCACAAAAAACCCGATGGTCAGCACATATTTCTACATCTGGGCGAAGGCTGTTTTAAAGGTGTATCAGTGAGATCTGAGCGACACTGGGGGTTGTGTGATTGTTTGTGTATTTCCACACTTCCTTGGGTGGTTTATGTGTTCGCCTGCATCATCAAAGAGCCGGGTTCCCATAGAAACAGATGTTTCCATTTTCCTCCTTGGTGGCAACATGTGGCAGACTTCCAGCACTGCATTTTCTAAGGTAACAGTAAGGAAGATAATCTTGGTTCTGGAATTTATTTCTTTTTAACCAGCCATGTTAAATCTATAGCTTTAGATGCAGATTCAAGTCAAACGGTTCAAAGCTGGGAGTTTTAAGATAACTTACATGATTATTGTACCTAAGGGGATGCCTTAAATTGCCTTTCTGTTGTGTGTGCTTATTCAAGGTATTTAATAAAACCATATGTTAGATTTACCTTTAGGGATATTTTCACAAATTAGATTAAGAACAGATACATGCTATTCTGTGAAATAGATTGTCAATCTTAACTTTTATCGATATGTGTCATTGTTCTGCGGAAGATCTCTTCCCACAAACGACAGTGTATGTTGTTTGAGACGGGGCCTTTCAATAGATGAGCTTCTGGAAATCACATAAATTGTTTTACAATCATAATTTTCCCTTTGAGCAATAGGCCCGTTTTCTGTATCGGAAGGGTTGAATAAGTGATAATGAAAAATGGCTTATAAATGTGTCCATATCCTTCAAATAAATTTTGTCACTTTTATCTAAAACAGCAACTCAAAAAACATTATAATTTGTTCAATAACATTGTAGCAGATATAGATAAAAACCTAGTTTCTATGCTTAGACTGCACATAAACCGTGCAACAAAATTAACTTTTTAATAAGTCAACTGTCCAGTGTTGCTACATTCTTGTTCACTAAAAGGTATCGTTGCAAAGTTAGCGACTTGATGCAAACAGATCCTTATATACTTTTCTTTTAACCAGCTAAACTGAAGTTGAACACATTGTTTTGTATGGATTCATATTGAATGGCATGTCAAATTTACACACATTTTCACAAAATAAGTTGCATGTAACGAGAAAAAACTCTCTCTGTCTGGTTCCCTCAAGCTAAAGTTAGTAAGGCAATAAGTCTGAGAGCAGAAGTGTAAGCGTCCACTTTATTCGGCCAAGAAGCTCCGTTTGTTTCCAGTCATTGTGCCTGCACCATTAATCAGACCGATTGCTATTCCTTTCGCTATTGTCACTCTCATCAATTTTTCTGTTTTCAAAGAGTCATGCTTTGTAGGACGACTGTCAGGTGTGTGTGGACACGTGTGCATGACGACGGCCTCCCTCTGCTGCACCCCCTGCACCCTCCCGCTCCTGGGAGGTGACCCAGTTTCCCATGATCCAACACGGCTGCTTCTACCGCGTTGTTGCCGTAGCAATATTGCGAGGTCCTCTAATGCCGGCTGTGACTGTGCCATGAATAATGGATGGGGAGACTGACAGAGTATTAAAGTGTGTTGAGAGAAAGGAAAACGGATGAGGGCAGAGAGAGAGAGAGAGGGTTACATTGGAGTAGCAAGAATGGAGAAGAAGGGAAGGAGTGAGATTAGAAGAGATATAAGTGAGGAGTCAAAGAAACTGAGGAATGAATCAGAAATGGGACGAGAACCAGCACAGAAAAATGAATAGAGTACAATTCAAAAGTCCTCCAGTTTAAGCTGAAGGACAACAGGAGAGATGGGAATTATGAATAAGTTCGAAGTGAGGTGGACAGATGTCAATTTTTGAAAAACGCAATGCGAACACGTATCCCTCTGGAACATTCAAGGTTAGGTCAATAATAATGAGGTAAAAACTTTTTCTTCCTACAAAAAAAACCCCAAACATGTTATCTTGAGGATACAGCCTGACCAGTTGCTAACAAAGATTAGCAGCAGTAGTCTACTACCTTTTCCACATTGATTGATGTCAATGACTTTGTTTCACATTTGTCTTTGAATTTCTTCAAATCTGGCTTTGAGGTCTTTTAGTCTATTTTATGTTGTCAGAAAAGTTGTTTTTTTTGTCAACTGCTCAGTGATTACTTTTCACCTATGCGGACATTCCTGGGAACTACACAGATCACATGAGGGTAACAAAAGAAAGAAAAAGCATAAGAATCTGTCTTAGCACCACTGTTGGTCTTTGAGAGTGTGTGGATTGCAGATGACTTGGCAGATGCCAAGTCGGAAATTTTTTGGGGAGCATTCTTCCTCCTCATTACTGACTAGTTCTGCCACCAGGGTTTGTGTGGGCACCGTGATTGACATGTACTTGGGAATATGACTGCAGGGTTGGGCAGGGGGGTTTGGTACCCTGCATCTCTCCCTGTGCCTCCCTGGCATGGGGACTACTGGCTCCTGTGCTGTGCTGCCAACACGCCTACGTGTTGAGCGTACGGCTACTCTGTGGGTGGTGGGGGAGGTTCTTTGGGTCCGTCTGCCTGGGGCTCCTGCAGCCTCAGGTTTCTCCTCTACTCCTCTAAATTTACACACGCACATTCATGCACGCGCATACCTTTACAAATAATCCGAAAAGCTAAAGGTCATTCGAACACAGGTTCATATTTTATTAACAGACCGTCTAGTCTGATGCCAGATGGAACTCTGATTTAATAGTCAATCAAGCAATTAGGATTCCATCTCTTCTCTCTAAAAGCTGCCCTGGCACATGTAATGTAGGCAACCAGGCTCTTCATATTGCAGGCCTGAGAAACAAGGCAGGACAAGTAAAAAAAATAAATAAATAAATAAAAATAAATAAAACATTGATGCTTTAGTTTTTACAGACCTAACCAGTGAATTGGCTGTGTATGAATTTGTTTTTGTGAACCTTTGTGCACTTTGCCTTCATCTCTGTTGCTGGTGACTGCAGCATGCACCGGTTTTGTGGCACACACCGTCTTTCAGCAGCAGACCTACAAACAGGGGCATATAGAGGTGTCCACCTATCACCTGTCTGCCAGAGCTGTCAGTCTGTCGGGGCCTAAAACGAAAGAACGAAAAATATGCAAAATGCCGAGCCAAGCTTGCAGAACAGATGTCAGGGAGCTTAAAGTATGTCCAGCCTTTCATTTTCCTATAATAAATGTTTTATTGAGCGAACTGCTTGAGGCGGCAGCTGGAAGTCTATAATAACATCCATGTCTTAATGTAAACCAATTACAAAGACGGAGGAAGTGTTGTGTCAGAGACTTAAATTAGCTATGAAAAGTTTATTCTTGTCTATTCCTTACTTCAAAAGGGATATAGTCGGTAATGATCTTATGTGCAAAATACCACACCGTCTATTTTATTTGAGCTCATAAGGAAGCATGAGCTCATAAAGAAGCTCTTGCAATATAACTGGAGATTGGACATGCTTTAGGAACCTGTCGCTTTAAACGTGGCCCCACATGTTGCCACTTGCTTTTTATGGAAGTCTGGAAAAATCTGTGGATTTCAATGGAAGAGCCAATACCAAAGAATAAGGATCAGAGCAGAATATTAACAGCTGAAAGAAGAAGCGAATTGACAA